ATGTTGTTAAGCCTGCAGCGGTAGTTATTGCTGGAGCTTTCGTGGTTGGACCTACAACAGTCGTACTTGCTGGAGCTGATGTTGTTAAGCCTGCAGCGGTAGTAATTGCTGGAGCTTTCGTGGTTGGACCTACAGCAGTCGTACTTGCTGGAGCTGATGTTGGTAAGCCTGCAGCGGTAGTTACAGCTGGAGCTCGTGTGGTTGAACCTACAACAGTCGTACTTGCTGGAGCTGATGTTGTTAAACCTGCAGCGGTAGTTACTGCTGGAGCTTTCGTGGTTGGACCTACACCAGTCGTACTTGCTGGAGCTGATGTTGTTAAGCCTGCAGCAGTAGTTACTGCTGGAGCTTTCGTGGTTGGACCTACACCAGTCGTACTTGCTAGAGCTGATGTTGTTAAGCCTGCAGCAGTAGTTATTGCTGGAGCTTGTGTGGTTGGACCGACAACAGTTGTAGTTATTGTTGGTTTTGGAAATGTGATAATTGTTGTTTTTTCTGTGTGCGGTTTAACTTCTGTTACTGTAGTTACAAATGGAGTTGATGTTGTTAAACCTGCAGCGGTAGTTATTGCTGGAGCTTTCGTGGTTGGACCTACAACAGTTGTACTTGCTGGAGCGGATGTTGTTAAACCTGCAGCGGTAGTTATTGCTGGAGCTTTCGAGGTTGGACCTACAGCAGTCGTACTTGCTGGAGCTGATGTTGTTAAACCTCCAGCGGTAGTTATTGCTGGAGCTTTCGTGGTTGGACCTACAGCAGTCGTACTTGCTGGAGCTGATGTTGTTAAACCTGCAGCGGTAGTTACTGCTGGAGCTTGTGTGGTTGGACCTACAACAGTCGTACTTGCTGGAGCTGATGTTGTTAAACCTGCAGCGGTAGTTACTGCTGGAGCTTGTGTGGTTGGACCTACACCAGTCGTACTTGCTGGAGCTGATGTTGTTAAGCCTGCAGCAGTAGTTATTGCTGGAGCTTGTGTGGTTGGACCGGCAACAGTTGTAGTTATTGTTGGTTTTGGAAATGTGATAATTGTTGTTTTTCCTGTGTGCGGTTTAACTTCTGTTACTGTAGTTACAAATGGAGTTGATGTTGTTAAACGTGCAGCGGTAGTTATTGCTGGAGCTTTCGTGGTTGGACCTACAACAGTCGTACTTGCTGGAGCTGATGTTGTTAAACCTGCAGCGGTAGTTATTGCTGGAGCTTTCGTGGTTGGACCTACAGCAGTCGTACTTGCAGGAGCTGATGTTGTTAAACCTGCAGCGGTAGTTATTGCTGGAGCTTGTGTGGTTGGACCTACAGCAGTTGTACTTGCTGGAGCGGATGTTGTTAAACCTGCAGAGGTAGTTATTGCTGGAGCTTTTGTGGTTGGACTTACAGCAGTCGTACTTGCTGGAGCTGATGTTGTTAAACCTGCAGCGGTAGTTATTGCTGGAGCTTGTGTGGTTGGACCTACAGCAGTTGTACTTGCTGGAACTGATGTTGTTAAACCTGCAGCGGTAGTTACTGCTGGAGCTTGTGTGGTTGGACCTACACCAGTCGTACTTGCTGGAGCTGATGTTGTTAAGCCTGCTGCAGTAGTTATTGCTGGAGCTTGTGTGGTTGGACCGACAACAGTTGTAGTTATTGTTGGTTTTGGAAATGTGATAATTGTTGTTTTTTCTGTGTGCGGTTTAACTTCTGTTACTGTAGTTACAAATGGAGTTGATGTTAAACCTGCAGCAGTAGTTATTGCTGGAGCTTTTGTGGTTGGACCTACAGCAGTCGTACTTGCTGGAGCGGATGTTGTTAAACCTGCAGCGGTAGTTATTGCTGGAGCTTTCGTGGTTGGACCTACAACAGTCGTACTTGCTGGAGCGGATGTTGTTAAACCTGCAGCGGTAGTTATTGCTGGAGCTTTCGTGGTTGGACCTACAGCAGTCGTACTTGCTGGAGCTGATGTTGTTAAACCTGCAGCGGTAGTTATTGCTGGAGCTTTTGTGGTTGGACCTACAGCAGTCGTACTTGCTGGAGCTGATGTTGTTAAACCTGCAGCGGTACTTATTGCTGGAGCTTGTGTGGTTGGACCTACAGCAGTTGTACTTGCTGGAGCTGATGTTGTTAAACCTGCAGCGGTAGTTACTGCTGGAGCTTGTGTGGTTGGACCTACAGCGGTCGTACTTGCTGGAGCTGATGTTGTTAGACCTGCAGCGGTAGTTATTGCTGGAGCTTGTGTGGTTTGACCTACAGTGGTCGTACTTGCTGGAGCTGATGTTGTTAAACCTGCAGCAGTAGTTATTGCTGTTGTTTGTGTGCCTTCTGTTGGACGTATTTTAGTTGGCGGTACAATGCAATCTGGTTTTTCTGTGCATACCCTAGTTACTGGATCAATATACTCTGTGCTGCAACATCCCTCAACGCAAGTAATATCATAGCACAGCTGAACACAAGGACTATAATGTTCACAGCCTTCATCACATTGCATAGCTGTGTAAGAGATAAGAATCAGAAACCAGTAATGCATCAGGGAATCTGACTATGTTTCTGATAACGTACTTTAGTATTTTAATCTGAACTATTATTCATGCATATACTATGTGAAGATATATTTAATTGTTTCTTCAAACTATTATCTCACAGGAAAAGGTCATTCTCACAAAGGTTGATGTAAATCCATTAAAAAATATAGGAAAGTATTATTAAATATTATTAGAAAGACATGAAATTTGCTTAAATATGGTCATGTTGACATCACGTCATGACCATATATAGGGACATCATGACTATATATGGGCATACAGCATTTTTGTGTGAAAGAAATTTTAATATACTGGACAGAGCTTCACAATTTGCTACAGCTTTACCACAAAATACACATTTACATTACACCTTTTATTATTCTTTTTTTTTTTTAACTTGGTGTTGATAATTTTGTCAATATTAATATTAAACCTGCTTTATTTAATATATTCAACATCCGGCATCGGAAATTTAAATATAAGTTAACTTTAGTAGAATTTCGTTTGATGCGAGGCATATGATGGTGATATGATATGATGGTATAAACTGAGTGGATGTGTTTTCTAATGAGTAATAAAACATATCATAACTGACATCACAAAGAGACAGGGCCGGATTTATCAAACTAGAAATCAGCTTAAATTTGTCCATTGTTTTGCTTAAGTCAGATTTATCAATATTGCTTAGCTTAAAATTAAAAAACTGATTGTACGCATGCACCATCTAAGACAATTTTTAAGCTAAGATATTGCTAAGATGGTTTGATAAATCAGCTTACCGTAAGATATTTGCTTAGGGACATCTTAACTTTTTTAACTTAAGACATATGCTAAGCTGAGATTGATAAATCCCGGGCCATGTCTTGAATTTTCACCAAAACAAAATTTTGAGAAAAACGTGTTTAGGCCTATAGTACACTAATTTCAATTTCGCGATTAAGATATTGATAATTTATTTTTTAAAAATTATATTCAAATGTTCAATATATTTCAATTTTCTTTACTTAACCTGGTAATAAATGTGAAATGTTTCTGTCTGTTCGTATAAAATTAGTAAAATAAACGCACAACATTGCGTTTTTAAATATACACAGCAAGATTTGTGTTTGTTCATGAAGTCTCACTTATACGTCCTCCTCTGTCATAATAATAATAATCATACTAACATTACTAATAATAATAATACTAATAATAATAATAATAATCATGAAGTCTCACTTACATATCCTCCTGTCATAATAATAATAATAATAATAATAATAATCATCATCATAATAATAATAATAAAAATACTATTAATAATAATAATAATATGCAGAAATTCAAAAACATTATCAAAGGTGCAGTAAACAATTACCCCAATTAAAGAGATTTGGTAAACAAAAAAGTTTTCAAATTAGTTTTAATTGAGCTTAAATTTGAAGATTGTCGAACAGAAAGAGGTAAAGGATTTCAAAGATACGATGCCTGAACAGAAAAAGAACGTTGTCCATATGTTTTTAGCTTTTTTCTTTTGAAGGGGCTTGAAGAAGAAATTCATTGGAAGAACGAAGTGTACGAGTTGGAGAATGGCGTAAGAAAATGTAGCAAATATGATGGTTGTTTACAATGCCAATTTGGCTTGGTAACACATTTTCAAAATGTGGCGAAAGGTCTACCACAGGTGGTAGAGAGTTAAATTTGGTGCCAAATTGTTCGGAACATGCATATTTCTATTTGCTCTAATACAATAGAACATTTTGCAAAAAAAATGATCGGAAATGCCGTTTCTGACCTTTGACATGTTTTAAGGTCATAGCCATATGGTCCTTATATCTCCGCAACCACTGGTGATAGAGAGATACTTTTGTTGTCAATTTGTTCGGAACATTCATGTTTCTATTTGGTTTAATAAAAGAGTTTGCTAAAAACTGACTGGAAATGCCATTTCTGACCTCTGACATATTTTATATATGGTAGCCATTGAGTCGTTATTATCTCCGCAACCACTGGTGGTAGAAAGTTAATTGTGGTGCTAAAAAAAGGCCGGAAATGCTGTTTCTGACCTTTGACATGCCGACATATATTATTATTATTAAGGCATATGCCTACCGTAAATTCTCAAATAAGCACCGCAGCCCTTATAACATTTTTCGAGGCTTCAGTGTGGCGCCTATTTTAAAGCAGCGCTTATAAAAAAAAAATGCTGAGGCGCTTTCCATGCCCGTTCCCATGATACCTATTTCACGTATTCCCGTAGTCAATCATAGGTCCTATCATCATAAGTAAACGTTTACAAAGAAATGCTTGTCTTCATTGTACTGTTTGTTCATTTTAACACTGTGTCATTGTATTTAAAACCCTGTTTCTCAAAGTGTTTCTACACACAGCATAATGTAATTGTACTCTCAATTTAAGCACCGCAGTGCTTATTCGAGAGCGGCGCTTATTCGAGCATTTACGGTGTCTCTGTACATACTTGCTGGTTTCTGTTTAATTTATTAGACTATTTGTTAAAAAAGTAATATGTTTAAATAGTAATAGTAATAATGTATA